CGACTGTGTTTTGCTTGTCATAAACCCTTTAGTGCTTTAGAAAAAAAACAGGAATATCTAATGTAGACGCTTTACAAGAAAAGATAAGGACCTTTAGTTGTTTTCTTGCAAAAGATATTTTGGGTACGAAAAAAAAAATATTGTTGATAGCTTGGCTTAAGAAAATATTCTTCAAAAAAGCGTCAAACATTATCAGTTGGAAATTCGCAAGTTGCCTGGTAAGACCTGTTGCACTCGAGGCGCCAGGTACATTTTTACTTCCTACGGTCAATTTAACTTTTGGTAAAAAAATCCATGCTTTAGGCGAATTTGTCTTTGACCGGTATATGTACAATTATAAAAACTCTACAGCAAGAAAGGCAAACGAACTATATTATTTACCCTATTTTTCACATCTTATAAAAGTCCTTTGTTCTGATATATAGAGCCAGTTGAAAAAAAATGTGTTAACAATTAATCAAGGCCTTCTTTTTATACAAGTCATTTGATTTTTGAAGATAGAAAAATAGCTTATAGCTTAACTGTTTTCGCCATAATAACAATTAGTGGCATAGTGAAAAATTATAGGCAAAGGATGCTAAGATATCACATTTTTTCTTCATTTTGCATGAATTTATATTAAATTAATCAGAAAATATTAAAGAGGTTGATCAGCAAGTTTTATTCAGCGCCAATGTGAAAATATTTGTTTCTGTATTGGAAGATTTTAAAAAATATATATATGTATGTATGTATTACTTAAAAAGTGGTGTCTAAATGTCTAAACGAGGTAAATGACCGTAGTTCGACGGCGAGGTGACTGTCTACGAAAGATAACTTATCAAGTTCCATCTCTTGTCGCGTATTTGTAGACAGGTGAGAAAGACATCGACATCGAGAAGTAAAGTTTGGCTCAATGAAACCCGTCAGCATGGTTATTTCCGTCCTAGTAAAGGAAATGACAGTAGCCAACAAGGTAGGTTACTGTTGCATAGTTCATTTATACTTGTAAGCAGGTACTAGAGACAATTTCGTGGAGGGGGGGGAGGAGGGGGATTAGGGAGTAAGTTACTGAAAAGCTAGTCCACCTTCTATGCTCATTCGTCTTTTTCTTATGTTAGAAGGGGGACGCACTTCAAGATCACGAACGGGTAAATGTGTGTATTAGTATGCAGTATACGTCCGTCTGCATATCGTTCGTTCTACATATGGGCCTTACGGGAAAAATGAACATATTCCCTAGTTTGTATTGCAGATTGTAAAAAAAAAAAAAAAAAAAAAAAAAGAGAAACGAGGTAAGGACATTTTTGGGAAAAAAAAACATTGCATTGCCCCTTGAGGTTGATTAGCAAAACAGAACTGGTTCGACACTTGGGGACAGGTGATGACCCTAATTAGTAGGTAATTAACTGTTCAGACGGAAATATGAGAGGGAAACCCGAACCCGCCTTTGCCCTCGCGTAGATACGTTGAAAATCCTATTAATACTCTCTGAATATAGTATAACCAGTGACTTTTCAATCTACTAGGTAATTAACCTGTTAGTTGTATAAGCATGAAACGTGCAAACGTGCGAGATAGTGGTATCGATAGTCTCATTAATTATGAAGGGGGGGGGGGGGTAATCACTCGCCTGTCACATAGTCAATTATCGATTCAGTTACAAGTTCAAACATGATGAATAATGTGGTCCAAGGTGGGGGGGGGGGGTCATCTGTAGCACCTAGCATCAAGTGCATATTTTTGCATGTTTGTTTGTCTCCTTCTTCTTCTTCTTCATCCTCTTATTATTCTAAATATTATTGCTTTGGAGAAGAGGGGAGGGGAGGGGGAGGGGTACCCTTCAGGTGTGCGTCTTCCTGTTATGACATTTCATGTACGTACGTAAGGTGAGTAGTTCTGTACTTTTTCATATATATATATATGTGTGTGTGTGTGTGTGTGTGTGTGTGTGTGTGTGTGTGTGTGTGTGTGTGTGTGTGTGTGTGTGTGTGTGTGTGCGTGTGTATGTGTGTGTGTGTGTGTTTATATATATATATATGTATATATATATATATATATATATATATATATATATATATATATATATATATATATATATATTAGCCTCCACAGGGAAGTAGATCATCAGCGAAGAATTTCTACATTTCAGAAAAAGAAAAAAATGCTTTGAGATCC